TTATTCTACATTAAGTTCTTTATAATATTGTATCGTTGTTAATACATAAATCTCGCTAAGAATGTTTTATGCTCGCCTTGAACTCGGTTATTCGAGATTAATTCCGCTGAGGTTTTTTATTCGCTGTCTCTGTATTACGAGCCGTAATAAGATGCTCTTTATACTTTTATTACTTTTTTTTTATGTCAGTGTGTGATGTTTTTTTTGTTACATGTTAGTGACGTTCGTGTCGGAACTTGTTTTGATGGTTGAGACATCTGCAGAATATAAATATCAAATATTCGAATTCTGATTTTCGATCTAAGTTGTAATATTGTTACAATCTTAATTGATTGAGGAATAAAATATGCATTGAATTCAAAGGAGATTGTTGACAGCGATGTAAATTAAAATATACGTTATATAATATTTGTATATAAGGTTTGTTTAAACTTTATATGCAAATATATATCAAATAACATTTTAATACATTTAGACATCCAACTTCATTCTTAAAACGTTTACTTCAAGTACCAACTTAATAATATTCTAGAAATAAAATTTAATGACTTTTATATTACGGACGATTGAAGTAACATAACAAAGTACTGCACAACCACTAATTGAACCCAAGTATTTGCTTTGTACTCAATTTAAACGTAAGTTGTAATAACAAATATACATGAATGTTAAAATACAAAGTAAACTTAATATTTAATAAGTATAAGAGTTCTAAAAACCTTACTAGTAAATGGAACCTTTGATAATATTCAATGACAATAAGGGCTAATATAATAAAGTGAAATAACGGAAAAAGGAAAGCTTTCGGTCCGAAAATGTTATTGAATTTTTGTCAGCACAATTTGAAATAAGAATTTTTTATTTTATAAAGCAAGCAAATTAAATGAATAAATTACGTCTTGAGTATATTTAATTTTAATTTCAGACCACTTCAAATAATAATTCAGTGAAGAAGAGAGAGACATTTAATAATGAAGTCATGTCTTACAGAAACATATTGAAGGTATTAAAATAAAATGTAGCAGATCTTGCTGAGGTAAGTAATGAGCAAATAAAGGCTGAGATTTGAGGAAAATTATGCTTGATATTTTCATCACATTAAGTGAGAGTTATAAGCATAACTCTTAGATGGAAGGTTTTTCAGTGTCTATATTTTTACTAGCATAAGTCTGTGAATTTTTCTCAACTATTCTCAAGAATTCTATAAATATCGTGTTCAAAATATTGTGTCACATTTGACAAAATTCGCCCTTAACAATATTTTATGTCCCAAATATGTATAGAAGTTTTCCGGGCTACAGCTTTATGTAAATATAATAATGGTTTTCGCCTTCCTTCCATTAATTCTCAGGATATTAACATATAAGAACTAATGACATTTTGTGGATCCCAAGCTGTATTCATTAATGTGCGCGATCTTAAATTATACCACCCATTTTTTCATCAAAGTTCTCTCATAATTTATTATAGACTTTTTACAGTAATGATTAAAAATATTAAGAATTTTAATTAAAATAATATTTAGAAGTTCTTTAACTGTTTTTTCTTTTTTAAATCAACAACTGCGTAACCCTTCGTATATAGATATCGAAAAATACTTTGCTACACTTGAATAATTGATTCGTTCGTTTAAAATACATTAAGCAGGCCCGGCACGATCGCGATTCCTGTTTTACAAAACAAAGGTAATTTCGTGGCTAACCATAAACCGAAACTGAAAACGAGGTGGTTTGTAAACCAACTCAATAAAATATACACTTATCTGGATGAGACGTTTGAAAAGAAACCCTATTCCATTCGCATAAAGACGAGATTCTTTATTTTTTTTCACGAATTATTATTGTTATCTTCTGGCTGTGTATTCGCTAATGATATAGAAGGGACGGTTTAATTATGTTTAAATAAGGTGCTTAAGTATTTTTGTGCTGTTACTGTACTAATTGCTGTAACTGTTCTTATTATTATGGTAATATACTTTTATTATACACTCACATGATATAAACTTGCTTTCAGATTTCATTTTAATTCTATTTTGTGTAACGTACTTTTATTAGGATACATTAACAATGGAATCTATAAAATGGATTTATTCTACGATTCAAATAACAAAGTTTGAAATAACCACAGTTAAACTCGATTAATTCAGAGATTGTATTGAATAGCGACGGACAATTTAGCCTTCAAGTTAGAGCCTTTAAAAAGTAATCAAATATTATATATTGTAACATTTAATTTCATAATTTCTATACATTTTGTTATCAGCTGATTTATATATCATTTACTATGTTAAATGATATGCTAGATTTATATATGAATCGTGCCCAAGCGACGTATTAGCATATATTGCGATGCCACCGAAATGCTACCGTCCAACAGATTGCATATATATGCATTAATTACTGTAAGAATGTCATATAACTGAGATATATGGAAAGATAATCATTATTTACGCTCCAGTAACAGTCAATCACTTATATGTTCAATTATATGCTAGATAAAAAAATATATATAGGTTTTATAGATAAAAATATATAAAACCTTTTTAATAGAAGACTTCTTTAATTTATTAAATGAACTATGGATAAAAAAACCTCTGTAGTATTTCTATTTGTAACAGTATATATGTATATATATATGTGTGTGTGTATGTGTTATATAATGAATGAAATGACAGTAAATTTTTCATTTAAATGTACCAGTATAGTGCAACTGTATATAGTTGTCCTAACTCTGTTAGTTCAGGACTAAAGAGGTTATATTGTGTTTGTTTTAAACATCCTCACTGGGAATCTGAATATTATTATATTTATTCATATATTTTCATATAATTTATAATATTGAGTTATGTACATATGTATAAGTTTATGGCTATATGCATAAGAAAAAAGTAGGATTAAGAACATCTGAAATGAACTGTCGAATTGATTGATAATATTTCTTACTGTCTGCTTAAATAATAAATTGTATGAGACTTTTAAAAATATGTAACACTATAGAAAGGTCGAATCATATTTAAAATTGAGTGTATATTAACATATTATATTTCACTTAATCTTTCATTTATAATAGACATTATAAATTTTTTATAAACCAAACTATTAATATTCCAATTTTTGTTTAGTTCGAACTTGACGTCGTAATCTCAGTATTTTATATTATATTTCCTTCTCATTCATTCCTTATGCCATAACAATAAATATAGAACAGTAGTAGAACCCAAACTCAATGCTTGTACTCACAAAACGCAATCACAATTCACTTACCCTTAAAACCTAAACATTTATAAAACCACCTGAGCTCGAATCTATTCTTACAATAGCTCTACGTAACTCAAATTCAAAGCTTGCTATATAAAATCCGGGGCTAATAAAAGCTAGGGTTGAATAAAGCGACAATGGCGCAACTAGGCAAGGGGCACATCCGGGAACGCGGCCGGGTCAAGGTCACGGCCCGAGGATCGATGCAGCTACGCCCCCGCTACGTTCCCCCCTCTACGCCGCTACGAAACGCTACGAAAACGCTACGAGCACGCCACGAATAACATAATATATATACGCTTTGAGATATTACTCGAACGGAAAATGTATGGTTGTAAGCGTATTGAAGTATATGATAACATTATATTTCTTTTCCGAATTTGAGTTATGGAATAATCTTATATGGTAATGTTTTCTTTTATATGCGATATTAGAATACTTTTGTTGTATGTAAAGAAATTCGGTATACAATTTTTGGATGACTTGAATCATCATTCTATTTTAGGAAATCCATCCGCTATCGTACTACCTCATAGCCTAATTGCATATATTTTTGCTTCTCTATATGTATGTAGATGTTCCTGAAAGCTTTTTACATATACGTGTAAAGTATGCAATAAAATCAAGACTACTTGAAGCTATATATCTTTTTGGTCATATATATTTTTTTATACATTTGCGTGTTTTTTATGGTTTTTTTCTTTTAAGGCTCAATAAAAATATATAATATTTTTATAAGGTTTTATTTCAATATGTAGACACATATTGACTTTGTAGGCCTCTTTTTGTACTCCTTTTTTAAAGTATATAAGACTAATTTATTGTAATAATATGTATTTGATGCCCAAAACCTTTTTTTAAATCCTAAACATAATTATATCATTTAAATGAACGAACAGTCATTTAAAGCTTCAGTTATTACTAAACTATACAACAAAGGGAAACCGTATAAATAAACCGTATGATCGTAGAAAAAATATATATGTGAGTGTCACGGATGCAATGAAAAAATGCTTAAATAAAAAATAAACCGTACTCCGATTACTGAGTGTATGCTGATCTCTTTGAGAATCGGACGAATGTACGTACAATATCGAAACAATAAATCCATATCTGTCACAATTTATAACAAACCGTGAATGAACATTTAACATTATTTTATCAATTCAATTTTAACGTCATTAAAATATAACAGGTAAAATTATTTTCACCGCGAAATAAAATTTCATTGTCCAAATATAAAAGGATATATTAAAAGCCTCAATTTCGGTCAGTCCGGTTGAATTACACGAACCAGTTTCGGGTTTCGCAAAATAAAAATAAAAACATGTCCAACATGTACGGTTTTAACAAACAAACAGTCATTTACTTTGTTAGAAATGTGTCTCGTTTGAAGTACTTGTTTTTTACATATAGCTTACATACGTTTTCATGACTTGTGAGTTAAAGTATAAAAAATAATTGTATCATATCATATCATTGTATAAACAAAGTCATACTTATAAAGAAAAAATATATATTTGAGTATCACGGATGCAATGAAAGAAATGCCTTAATAATTTTGTTGCAATTAGACTTCTCGTTAAACTACAATAATTTATATATTCTGTAATAATACTCATGTCTATTTATATATCTGTGAAACAGTGCCGCTGTCATTTATAATTCTGTAGTGGTCTTATACAATGGCGTCGTAACCTTGAGAAGGTTTGTTGCTGGCGCGAGCGTCCACCCCTGTCGGTCATGGTCGCTAGACGCAAGCATACAGAGCAGACGTCCGAACACCTCGGTGCCCGACGCCCGAATGGCCTTTCGTTGGTTAGGAGTGGAGGGGGTAATGTTTATCTACCCCTCCTCCCGCCTCTCCCCTCCCCGACCGTGCCAGCTGAGCAGCGGCAGGCTATATATAGGTTGCGCTGTAAATATTCGTTCCAAGTACGGAAAGCGCCCCCTCCTATGGGGGGTCAGGTGGGTACAGTCTCCAGATACATGGGCGAGTAAAAGTTGAAAGTTCACCAGCGCCAGCATGTGTTAGAAAATGTTTTCTTTATTCAAATTTTACTTCAACTTATTCTGTGTCTCTATACTATATTGACTATTCAAATATCCAACAAAATATAACCAGATTTGTAAAAATCTATCACGCCACCAAACCAAACTGAGTAACAAAATACTTTCATATTCATTTTTCATTCTATTTCAAACAGTTTTATAACTAAAATTAATCATTGAATGTTTATTTACTGTCCATGGAAAATAAATATTAATTAAACGCTTGAAACGAGAGGAAAAATTCGTGTTTCTAATGAAACAAGAGTTTGAAGGTGAGGGTAATTTCGAAAATATGACATTCTCTTCCCTAAAATTAAAATAGATTACTTTTACCCGTGATGGGCAATTTGCGTGCGTGAACAAATCGTTTGAATTTTTTTGCTTTATGAAGGCGTTTACATAAAAATTACTTTACAGAAAATGTGTGTATATACAAATAAAGAAAACAAACACCAATAAATTATATAACCATTAAATTATATATAAAAAATAAAACATTCCGTAAACAGCATTTAAGTTAAGTGTTAAGTAATCAACGTTACAGTTGACTGGCAGCCAAGGTCGATTTAATTTGGTCCTAACAAATATCGACAGTAATTTTATAGAGCGCAGTGACTGGCTGTATTCGATTTATACCGTGATTTCCTTATTGACAGCCGTTAGAATTCGATCTTCTGGTTTTCCGTTTCATTTATGGCAGTTCACAAACTATGTAACTGATTTCGTACTCATTTTAGATACGACGGGACAATTCACACTATGCGTACTCATTTTAGATACGACCGGACAATTCACACTGTGTGTACTCTTAGGTGGATGTTCAACAACTTCTTCCGTACTCTGATCTTCGTCGAACCACGTGACATCTTTCATTGTAAATTCGAATTGTTCCTCCTCTTTTATTTTATATTTCTCGTGCTTTGGATCGTGGAAGCTGACGATGTTCAATAGAGGAGCGGTTCCACCGAACGCTATTCTTTCATCATGACTCGTAATTGCTAGTACTGTTCCAGGACAAGGGTAGGAACAAGTTATGTAGCGGTTGTGAAGATTGATGACCTCAACACAGTTTGTTCCACTACCGCCTATGATACCGTATTTACCTTTTCGGTTATACTGCAACATTAAATGCTGTTAAAAGTAACTATATACTATTTAAACAAAATTAAGAAGAGGAAAAATCGTCCATTATACTTCCAGTACCAATCTACTAAAGGTTAGAAATGAGATAAATACTCGGGTACTTTTTTCAATAAATCATATTTTGCTATAATGGGGAAAATAAAAGTTCACAGCACAATGATAAGCTTATTCTACTTATGTATGATTACGATAAGTTATGAATAAAAGTTTAAATCGAGGTTTATATAGAAATAACTGTTAATAGTATTAAATGCTATTGTTATAGAAATTTCCATTACAACAACAATGGATTCAGTCACGAAATCATGTAGATGATTGTCAAATTAATTTGACCATCACATGACCTTTCTAACAAATATTAAATATATTTTAAATTACCAATTATATACAAGTTTACATAAAAAACATCAACCTGTATTGCAATATCCAAACTTCAACAAGTCGTTTTAACTATCTCAACAATATTCAACCGCAGTGGCCTTACAAAGCGAAAACTTATACCTGCTTTCAAATTTCAATGTACTTAACAATTTATAGGATGGAAGGAAAACAATCTGCCCAAAACCTCGGCTTATAATAATATACCTGTTTATTTTGTATTCCCAAACTAAATATTATAACATATTGGAATACCTGATAACAATTAGCAAACGCGTCCAAATTCACTTTGTCAGTCAATATTATTTTAAGATTTGTAATATATCAAAAATATGTATAATTATTTAAACATTATTGAAAATAGTTTTAAAAAGTTTTTACCAGAAAATTGGTTTCCTATCTAGTGGGTTTCCGATAACATTATGTAACTCAATGTATTGTTGCACTACGATAGCTTTGAATTCAAGAGAGACCCATTTAATTTAGTTTAGTGGTTTTTGAGAGATTATATAGGAGAGTACCAAATCACACATATAGTGGTACTTTCTTTGTCTTATAATTTAGGTGGTATATATTTTTAAGGAATAAAATACCTTTGAAGATCTCCAATAGCGGCAACCGTAAATATACTCGCCATCAACATCGGGTCGTCGGTTTTGTACTCTGATGGTGCTCAATCTCTTTTTGGCAGTCAAATCCCAAACCGAGAGCGCTTCAGTTGGCTGCCAACTTCCAGAAATGCAAAAATCCCTCTGGAATATCATTGAGATCATTACATCGTTGGTGACCAAAACAAACTTTGACGAGTAAAACATAATATGTTGATGTCTGTGACAGTGGTTAAATAAGACAATAAAAATTTACACCCTATTTTATTTGTGAGAACCTCACAAATCCATTAATTAGTATTTTACACCTTTTCCCTCAATCATATTTATAAACAGATTAATTTGCCCTTATTTGCGTTTAAAAATAAGGTTTTAGTTTACCCTGTAACTTTAGCACTTATACACTTTTGGACTTATCAAGTAAGAGTTGATACATATTAAAAATTATATTTCATTAGCGATATTGCCATCTTGTGGCAGACTTATACACAGACTCAATGTCGCGACATTTTTTCAAGGGCTTTTAGCAAAAAAAAACTTGTTTTATAAAATTTACATGCTTTACAAAATTTTGCTCATAAAAAATAATTAAAATTAATAATCGCGAAAGTTGGTAACATTTTAAGCGCTTTAAAAGTTATTACAAAATAAAAATTTCATACAGACACACACTGATGAAAAACTTTAAAATAATATACACACCTCAAAGGCTACAAACTATGAGAGAACATCAAACTTGATAACGAGGGGAGACGAAACTGTAGATGAAACTTGAGACCAAGTCGACAAAGGCACAGTTTTTAATTAAAACTACCTCATGGTCTTCGCTATACAAACACTTTAAGCGGTTGGAACGGAAACTAAGTGGTTGGTAGGAAGAGTCAAATTATTGCATCTCTATATTGTTTTAATCTGTATATACATACTTGTTATATGGAAGAAAAAAATAAGGAAGGAAAAAATGTAAAGTAATGCAAAGAGTTCTTGCTTTCTGATATATACAAAGTAGCGTACAATTTGGCAAATCCATTAAATATTATAATACGCAACGCGAATACCACGGCCTAACTTTGTACCAACCTTCATTTATCACTCCCTTTCATGTTCTAAGTAAAACTCGACGTATTTTTCAATTAATCTTAGCAAATGCGCGGCATGTTTTTTATTTTTATACGTAATGAATTTAATAATTATTTACAGTATAATATTACACAGAATATCATTTTATAAATGTTCTTTAAACTTTTTATCATTCACTCAAACTCAGTCTATTAAGATGCTTTTAATAGGTATAGTTTGGCGGTGTGTAATAATTCTTCACGGTTTAATAATACACATATTTGTTATTTGAATCTATTATTTTGTTATTATACAACACTTTAAAATTATTATTGTTATTTCAGAATGTTTATGATTGCATCTCACAAGTCCCTACAAAAGGAAAGTCTCATATAAATACAATATAATAATAAACAAAAATCCTTTTTTTGTGAATAAAGACAATTAACTTTCAATTATAAAACGTTATGCAAATAATATAACAGTATTACTTTATGTCCAACATCTAAATACTAAATCTATAAAAAAATATATTAAAGAAACATAAATAATTATATTCTAATTCATAAGAGACTGACCATATCAAAATAAAGATTGTTATTCTTAGAGAGAAAAATTTGTAGAGATGAAATTCGGTTCGATTAGGTTTCAAGGAAAAGTTGACTAATTACTTAAGATATAAAGTACATATTAATAGCAATAGCATTATTATATACAACCATCAACAATATATTAAAACGTTGCATAAGAATATACTTATCTACCTTATATTATATTATATATATACTTATCTACCTTATATTCTATGCATACCATCTATGGTAAATTTTCCCTCTAGCAAATTTTAGTCCACTATGAACTAGTGACAAAAAGTCGAGAGACCTCATTCTATGTAGTACACCGACAATCAACATTATCATTCATCGTAAGATCCAGATATAAATTATCTTATTCTTTCATACTCGTATTCTTCAACGAAAATATTTTTTGCTATCATTTCTAACTTCAGACAAAAATAAAAAAAAAAAGTAATGACCATGAATAATCTTTATTACCATGGTACTTTTCTTTTTATTATTTCAATTTATTTGGTTCAGACGTTGTAATTATTATTACAAGATTGAACTAGTTATATTAATTACTTGTATTACAATTTATTCCACCAGTACAAGATATTCTGTACTCTGAAATTCTCTGCGATATAAGACATTTATTAACACGCTTGTGGTCTGTATGTATGTATGTATGTATGTAACGGAATCTTTGAGCACGATTTTAACCGGTTTCTAAACATCTGATTAACTTGAAACTTTGCATATGTCTCAAAGACCAATGACAATACAATAATTCGTTAACAATTTTCCATTATCCTTGTAAGGGCCGCCAGGATTAATATATGTATTCTTTTCATATTAACTTTTTAGTTAAGTTTGCTATAAAAGCTATTATTTATGTAATATAAAAACGCATAATTGTTCTCATCTATATTATAAGCAACTCAAATTTCATATATTTATGATATAATTGATACTTTCAAAGACTCACATATGTGTACAAATACTTGCATAAGTAAGAAACATTTTCCCTATTCTCTTTAGGAAAGATCAATATTTTTATAATAAATGGCCATATAAAAAAAACTCAAACTTTTTTGTTTTCATAAGTGACATGCCATTTTTATTTACTAATGACAACGTTATTAAATATATGTAGGTAATTATTAAAGAAAAGCTTTTTCTGGGTTTGTTCCAAAAGTCGATTTTACAAAGAAAAGAAAAAAGAAAGGTATTAAAATTATTTCACATCATAGATTAATACAGAAATACATTTAACGATTCTCATGTGTTTTCACATTTTTATTATAATAAGAATGACATGAATTTAAGAAACGTATGTTACAGTAAGCCGCCTAATAATTACCCATCAAAATAAATTCGTTCTTTCTGTGAACTTCAAATTCTACTTAAAATTAAACATTTTGTATTTGACAATACATTGTATAATATAATAGATTAAATTAATTTGAATATTCTAAAAGCACTCAATTTCTTATATTTAAGAAATGATGGTTTTTTGATGGTTTTCCAAATAAAATACATTGAAACTCCCACAGAATATGAAATACGTATAATAATACTTACATTCAAATCGATGCTGTCACCACATATATTAACTCCCTCGAAAGTCATTATGCATCCAACATTACATCTTATATCCCAAATCTGAAAACGAGTTCAAAACATTCGCTTCATAATTCTGAAATATCATAAAGTTTAAAATATGTATATTCTTTGTAGTAACAATGTTTAATCCAGAGAATTCATAATAAGCACTTAAAGTATTGCAATCATGTAGGTATGCTTTTTAAATTGACACAGTCTCTTTTCTTTGTTGATGCTAAACGCTCAAAGCGCTTAATAAATAATTTGAGTTAACCGCTAGCAAAATATTTTAATCTCGACAGAGACGCTCCGAGTCCGCGGTCGTTGACTGATATGTTTTATTCAGGGAGCGTTTAAACGATTCCAGTAAAGTGACTCGGACGAGTACTTAATACTCCTTATCAAGGGACGTGTGGAGATCATAACAATAGGATATACATACAACAGTTTATGTTCACTCGCTTGCTTACTAGAAACAGCTAAATGGAGCTTCGGGAATAAAACTCTTTCAAATTTAATAGTCATGTCGACCACAGAGCTGCGTCAAAGCGACTCGTTTTTGTTATTTTGCTTTGCCGCGTTCAGTTAGAACATTGTATATTTTTTTCGACAAGGTATAATTTATACCGCAAATTCTACATTACGGTCATTTACAAAGAAACCTCTTTATATATTTAAAATGTCTTTCTCTTTATAAATTTTTAAATAAAAAACATCCATTGTGAATTTAATTTCTTCATATTAAAAGTTACCATAACGAGGCTTTCGAATTGTGTTTCCTTTGCTCCAGTTGTTATCAGTTTTTAAGTCATAAATAATAATAATGTCTACAAATTTTTACTTATTTCTAAAAAGTATAATCATATAAATTATATCATATTTTGGTACACATTGATTGCAAAACTTTTTGACTCTCAATCTTAATTTTTGTTAAAACTGAAAACAATATTTCTTAAGGTTTGAGAAAATATTAAGGCTCAGAAATATAAGTACTCCACAAATTTTATTTGATATATTTGGCAAATGAACACTTTGATAAAATACTTATTAAAAAGTTATTTTGGCTTAATGTGTTTATATAAGATAGTCTTAATATTTAAGCATCGTTGATCGTATTTATTTTGTTTTTCCAAGTTTTACTATAACTGAGTTGATTAGAACAGATAACGAAATAAAATAAATCCAATATATATTCTAGATAACATAGCATTGTTTGATAATATCATGCCTTATTATGTATTTTAATTTTATTCATCTGCCCGAATATAAATATATAAATTAAAATTTGTATATATTCTTTTTCAAAATACAAGTCTATTGTAGGTACAATTAAAGCTCAAGTTATTATTTTTCATATTTACCCTCAACGTTTTATCCCAGGCTCCTGATGCAAATAGAAACGGCTTCTGGTCGTGGCACCTTAGAGCACAGACTTGCCCAAAATGCATTCTCTGAAGTTTCTTAGGTATAAACTGTAATCGGAGTTTGTGGACCTTATATGTTAGGTCCGCCTGAAAGGACACAACTAAGTTATAGGTATGGAATTGTTTGTTTGTTCTTGTGTTTACTTGGATATTCCATTGTAAACAACCGAAACTTGTCATCAAGAATGTTTCTGTTACGTCCCCTTCGGTTAGAACAGTATAATGAAACAAACTTAATTGTATTCTGTAACGTTCAATAGAATTATATACTCTGTGGAATAATTGTTACGATGAAAATAAAAATTAACGTCCCATCTTCAGGCTCTTTTGAAATATTTTTATATTGGTCGATTTACAAGATTTATACACTTTTATAACTATTAAACCGCTTTTATCGCATTAACAAGGTTTTTTAATAAGCTTTTAAAAAAGGCAAAATTTGTAAAGCAAACAGGAAATTTACTGAAGATCTTTCAAACTATAACATTGGATTTTAGTCCCGACAGTTAATACGTTTTATGGTTGGGTACAGATAAAATAAATAAGGGATAGTCTTGATGTCCTCGTCATCTGGCGTCGCTGTAACATGATAACAGAATCCTTGACCAGTACCGACCTACTTTCACAAGTATCCTTACTTTTGAATAAATCGTAAACCCTACACTGATATTGCCAATAAACCGTGATCGGCGGTTTTACGGGAGACACTTCTTTTTAATGTTGGTAGCAAAATTTCGAAATAATAAAGTATTTGACTTTTCGTTCGTATTAATACCACTTTTGGAAAATTTAAATTAACCTACAGTATTCACTGTTGACAACCATTATATTTTAATAATAATATTAGATTTGCCCGCGACTTCGTCTGTGAAGTTCGTTACTAGGCTCAAAGAGAAATGTATAAAATATATTAAAACAATAGGTATGGTAATTAATAATCGGCAGTGACTTCTATAGCCTACGTCACATAAGTACATGCACAATACAACTATTATGTCTTGATCCTGTGGTAACATGGAGTTTCGAAATAATTTATGCATAGCCTACGTCTTATTCTGGAGTGTAAGCTACATTATTGTAAAGTTAGTAAGTGGTTTTTGCGTATATGAGCAACAAAGATCCATAAGTCCTCATAAACTTTCCCATTCAACACATTAGTTAGGTAAAAACCCGTAGTATTTATTTTAATGCAATATATTTCAAGGTTTAAATTTTAAATAAAATATATTGGACATTATTACAAGGTGAAACCAAATTCAATGAACATTTTGTATTCATTTAAAAGCAATTTAATAGTCTTTTAACTGGAAGGAGGACTTTTATTAAAAACAAAATAAACATATTTTTTATCTTTCCAGTTATTTAATTTTGATAATGACTTCTTATTGGGACATTATATTTAAAGAGTCTGGAAAAGATCAAATAGAAAAAAGGACAGACTTAAAACATTAAATTCAGGGTTAGTTAGCATACATTAACTGCCTAAAGGCAAGAAGGTGGTGGGATAATTTAGTATACATTTTAAATCTTTTTTCCATTTAAATATACAACTTTTAGATTAAAGTATTTCACTTTAATATTACGAAATAAAAATAAATTTTCATTATGAACATGAAAAGTTGAATAGAAACCGAAAATGTTAAAAAGCTAATAACAATAAATTGCATTGTACCTGACGTTTTATTCGTAACAACAAAACGTATTTATTTAACTTTCTGTAATTTATGTAGCCAAATTAACTAACATAAATATTACGCACCAACATAAATTATACAGCCAACCGCTGCTATATCGATAGATAGGCATAATGCGATTCAATCTTTACATTAAAATTATAAAAAAAAACGTCAGCTTTACGTTTGTTAAATTAAAATAAATGTATATACTTATTAACCTCTAGAGTTTCCATATCGTACACTTTTATCGAGGCGTCAGCGTAGCCCACAATGATTTTCGCCTGATCAGCCGATATGCCCAAGGATAGTGCCGGCGATCTCTCTAAAGTAAATAACAAAATGTTGGATCGTGTTCTCGTAACAAAGGATCGTAATTCGATTCCCGTATTCTTATAGACGAATATATTTTTAGGAGATATTCAACTTGCTTCAATTGTGTTCGATTTATTAACCTTATAGACCTATTACAAGTGATTTTGAACGTTTGTGTGAAATAATACATCTTAACTAAAAAAACCTGGGTTTCAGAATACAAACCATAAATTATTCTAAAGACTTCCCCGATATCTTAAGCATACAGTATAATACATACACAAAAAAGTACTACACATTATATCGCTATGAGCTTAAAATAACTTACGTGTTATAAGCGGGGTGGAGGCTGAAGATATTCCAGGAGAACCATAAAACTGTGTGTTAAGACATTCCAAAGCAGGATCGGCACGAATACAATACCCGGGAGGATCTTCTACTGATGTTGCTATCTGTTTATTGTGTTACTACTTACTACCTTGATTAGCAAGAATCTTAAGGTTAGAACATATTCGGAATCATGCTTATATGTAGATATTAGCTTATTTGCGTGAATACAGAAAGATAAGCAAGAAGTCTGTTTATATGAGTATATAAAATTTAATGCGATTGTGAACAAAATTAAATTTTTAATGAAAATCTCAAGTATTTACAATATAAAGTCTCGTGGTAACGTTGAGAATATACGCATGCCTCATCATATTTTTTAAGTAGATAACCACGCGATATAGAAATTGTTAAATGTGGACATATATTCCTAAATGTGACTGATCTGGGAATACTACATAATGATTATGTAATCTGTATTATAAACTACATTAGGTATTTCAATTCTGTATATGGCCCCATCGCTGCAGGCGGCATAGCACACACGCTCTTCTAAACGACTGTATTCGATAGCATATATGGGTCTCGGGGGAAATTGTATGTTACGCAGAGTACAGAGAACTACGCCTGTAGTACCGTGACGCATCTGAAATAATATTATACAATAAATATTAATAATATATGAATAAATTTTACGCCCAATTTCTTATAAGTACAAGTTTCAATGTTAAGATGAACATAGCGGAATAATTTCAAAATAAAATCAATCATTCCATACAAAAAATACAATATAATAATGCTAAGAATACAATCCCTGAATCCGCAAAAAGTAAACCGCTCAACTAAACAATACTACCTGCACCATCCCTGACGCATGGCCTACAATAATGTGGCCTCCGTTAGGAGAGTAGGTCAAAGCCGTTATAGCTCCCAATTCGGAACAATACCATCGATTGAACAATATCTCATTTCGAGTGCCTTTTAAAAATCTATCACTGTTTTCTTTCATCCATGCGAAACGATTGTGCTCTTCTTTTGGACCTTGATAAAACATTGGATACCAAATTTTTGGAGATTCCTCATTTTCATAATACGAATATATATTTTTTGTGTATTCCGCAATGATTTCATTATATATATCCATATTAAAGATACTAGATTTTAGGTGAGATTGTTTTTTTTACTCGACGTCGATGAAGCGCAAAGTGAAGGTTTAATATGTATAATCTTCGCTTACCTATATTGCGTGACATGCTCGACAAAAAGGATTCGTTGCAAATAGAAATAAACTACATATTTATAAAAAGCGTATTTTTCTATAGCATACATAGATTTCTGTTTTTAAATTATATGTACCTTACAATTATGAAGATAAAAATATAATATAATAAGTTTTTAATGTTCTTACTTGAATTAGTCCAGATGAATGACCCACGATTAAAAATTCGCCATCAGGACTATATATCATAGCGGTAATAAAGCCGGTTTCTGACAAATAGTCCAAACGTAGCAGAGATTCATTAGGAGTGTCTTTAAAAAATCTTTCTTCGTTGTCTCTTAACCAAGTCAATTCTGTTAAACTTAAACTTTTCTCCGCAAAAGAAACAAAGCCAGAGAGACCCTTCTCATCTTCACGAATAAGTTGTCTTTTTATCCGATACCCATATTCCTTGACAAAAACTTGAATATCAGATTCACTCTCTGATAAATTAAATCGACTGTATGTTGATATATTAAAAAGATTAGACGCCATATTATTTCTTAAACAAAATAATGTACGCTATTCACAAATCCATCAGGAAATATGAGACTGGTAAAATTCAAACTGTCAAAAGGTAAAGAAGTAAACCTAGATAAAATACTTAATAAAGTTTTTATATTTTTCATTTACTTATGACGATATTGTTTATTTTATTAATAATACTTAGGGATTGTAGTGAGACTTAATGATTATTAAGTAACATGGCCCTAAATAAAAGTATAATTCTCAGAGTTGGATTTTCAATTCAAATTCTTTGCAGTTGGCAGTTATAATAGGTATTGAGGGGAAGACGAGAGGAAAATATTTAGGCTCGTTATAAAATTAAGTATAAATAAGTTAAAGCAGATCATTGTTCATGAAAATATTTGGTATCGCAAATACGACTTCATTTCATAAACATTCTTTTGAAATTAAGTAATGAAACCTATAATTTTACCTTTATTTATTGAAATAATCTATCAGATAAGTAGTTTAAAGAAAAAAAATAACAATTTAACAGTTTCGATAATGTTTTTAATGCGTGATACGGAACGTTGTTTATCTGACAGTGTATCCAATATAATACAAAAAATACGATAAAGACAGAAGTAGAATATAACCACAAGAGCGAGTGAGTAAAATAAACAGCGTCCTGACTGGGCGAATGCAGCCGAAGGTTGCCGATGTTGACGCCATATTGTAATGTCAGGTTAGGTGAAGGTGGTGAAAGCACTTGCTTTTTATTTACAATATTTGTCTAAACTGGTGATTTATCAATTGATTAGGACTTAAAAACTAAAGGTATGTTATAAACTTCCATTATTTAATATTAGTATAACAAATTTACAGACTTATAAAGAAACAAATTAGTGTAAATTGTCGGGTGTGGTATTTAGTTCATTTGATACACGGGCATTATACTTTGTTTATTTTGTTATTATTATTACTTAATTTCCCTTCATTACATAAAATAGTATTATATATTAGTTTATATGTATATTGTGAGCTTTAATTGAGAATATTGGCAAATAGCTTATAAATCGATAGTCACGGCTGCGTCGTATTCTAGTTTCATAGTTTATTTTTTATAGGCGCAGGGTGCATCACTGCATCCGTTTAATCATGAGTTATCAGATACCATCATCTCAGAGCCGCACAAGTAAGTAATTCTATAATATATCAATTTTAATCCTGATCTGATGATTACTTCTTATAGAAACTAGTTTGTGTGTTTGTGACTCATATCACATATTTCAATATTGTTATTTGTAAAGTAGTTATGACAGTTATAATCATTGAATGGTATTTATTATTTCTGTGCATAAAATTTCAATTGCTAGGATCAATTCTTTAGCTAGTTGAAATTGTTGGAAATAATAAAAATTCTTATAAATATACAAATTAAAATGAAATTATATATTCATCAAATTCTATTGTAATTAGTTGTAATGTCTTACACAATTTTGACCACATGAATTTACTCTTATATATATTTATTGATCTTAAAATACTAGTATAACCAAATCTAAACTATACTTACAGTGTCTCATAGCAACTATGGTGGGTCTGATGTGCCGATGGCACCGAGTAAGGAGCAGCAGACCCTTATGTGGCAACAGAACTCATACTTGGTGGATTCTGGTATCAATTCAGGTGCAGCTACTCAGGTGTGTATTTATTATTTCCGAACTATTGATCAATTATTTGATGAAATTAAATAGGTTTATGTTATAAAAAAAAATTCAGATCACTTTGCATTACTTAATTATTTTAAAAAGTACATGCTCCCGATGTTTTGGATACTTTCATGATCATGTTCCAACATGATGATAAAGTCTTCATTTTCATGTCATGAATGTCAGGAGTATGTACTTTTTAAAATACAGTGTAAACTCTATATAACGACACTGAAGGGACCGTGCATTTTAGTGCGTTATAGAGAGTTGCCGTTAAATAGAGGGAAGAAAAATCAGAATTAGAAAAAGACAAAGTTTGTTTCAGACTACTGTTAGTACTTATGTACATAAAAAAGAATGTTATAAAGTCTGTTGTTTTTGTTTGACGTGTTTTGCTGCACCAGTAATGTTGTTGTATTGTTTACGTATTTTATTCATATCTTGCGATATTGAGGCATATTGGTGAAGAACGAATTTCTTAGAAAGTTTGGTATGCATGATTACGACAGTGGAGTTTATTGCGGGCTAGGATAACAAAGCGACAAAAAAACGTACACAGCTGCGCATTTTTTACTAATGTTAGCAACTTAAAGGGTACCTTTTATTACTTAATTTTGTCGTTATTGAGAGTGGCTGTGACGCTATATAGAGTGTATCAATGTATGGTAGACAAGCTAAACCAACCAAAGTCAAATGATTTCGACGCTTTAGAGAGTTTGTCGTTAAATCGAGTGTCGTTATATGGAGTTTACACTGTAATATTATAATACATAGCGATGGGAAAGTATTCGTTTTGATTAAAGGAATTCCTATGAAAGTTTTAGACCTCATTACATTTCTCTTGTTTCTTATGCTAAAGTAGGTTTAATATGTGATGATTCTGTGTATATAGAAGATTAGTCATAAGTCAACATGTAAATCCCATGAACTTCTGAAAGTATCAATTACATGTTCATAAAATGGAAATACTATCAAATACCATGTGGTACCTTTGTTTTATATTTTCTTTACAACAAAATAAACATCAAAATTATTTGTAGTATTTGTTATTTCAATATTTGTTTTATGTTTATAACTTTATTTGCAAATTTGATCTTAAATCTTAATGATTTTGGAAAAACAATTAAGTCCACAGTAATAAGAAATAAGAAATATTATTAAAAAATTGAGTAAGTTATGTCTTTAGGTAAATAATTTTAACCGCGTGTTATAATTTAACTCTGAAATCATTAATTTAACAATATTTTTTATACAGGGTGACTGGTGAATTACTATCGATATTTGAGGACGTGATATTTGACGATCATATATGACAAAATAAAAATTAATATAACATAAATATTAATAAACTTCTAAGTAAAGTTAACCAATAGTTATGTAATTAATTACGCATCGTATGAACACCCTACAGATTAGGTATACACACACACACACACACTCGCGCGCGGCGGTGTGTTGTTGTATCAGCACGCCGCCGCACGCCTCCACACTTGGAACACTTGGAACGTGTACACACTTTATTTATTTATACGGAAATTTGGTCAAAAATTAAGTACCTATTTTTTTACATAATTTGAATGAGAATCATGTACTGAGTATGCTCCTTAAATATTGATAGTAATTCACCAGTCACCCTGTATAACCTTAATATCTCTAAAATTTTATTACGAGTACAATTTTCTTAAAGGTTTACATTTCATTGTATCTTCATAGGTACCATCTCTTACTGGCAAAGAAGATGATGAAATGGAAGGAGATCAGCTCATGTTTGACCTGGACCAGGGTTTTGCCCAAGGCTTTACTCAAGAACAGGTTGATGGTAAGTTGAACAAATAAAATCATTTTATTACATCTCAAGTTATAATAATGGGTAATAAGAGAGTGATTTCTCTCTGAATTACCTATCTGTTAATTTGTGGCCTTCTTTAAGTCATAATAAGACTATACTTATAAATTAAATGACAGTAGCATTTTAAATATCACAACATCTAATAATTAAAGAATTTGTTTAATTATCTAATTACTAATATATAAAATTTCCATCTCACAATGCTAGTTACCGTACTCCTCCGAAATGGCTTTACTGATTTTTACCAAATTTTATATGTGTATTCAGTAGGTCTGAAAATCGGGTATTATCTATTTTTATACCTTTAGTCATAAGGGTTGTTCACCCATATATTTTTTTTGTAATTATTCAATGTTTTTTTTTGTATTTTATTATAATGTGGCATTAAAAATGCATACAATTTTTAATTTTTATTTTTAAATCACTAACCCCAATATTTTTTGCTGGGTAAACCTACCCTAATAAGGTTTGCTGCTTCATCTAGTTATTATATAATGTGTTTATCATTTTCTACAGATATGAACCAGCAGCTATCTCAGACGCGGTCCCAGCGTGTGCGCGCTGCTATGTTTCCTGAGACTTTGGAGGAAGGTATAGAGATTCCTTCCACTCAACTGGACCCCGCTCAACCAACGGCTGTCCAACGTCTATCTGAGCCATCTCAGATGCTTAAACATGCTGTTGTTAATCTTATTAACTATCAGGACGATGCTGATTTGGCTACAAGGTTTGTATGAAAATCATATGTTATGCACTATATATTGATTTAGTATTTAATGCACCTGGAGAATTGGTTTTAACTAATTAAATATCTTCCAGGGCCATACCTGAGTTGATCAAACTCTTGAATGATGAAGACCAAGTGGTTGTGTCTCAAGCTGCTATGATGGTACATCAGCTATCCAAGAAAGAGGCATCTCGTCACGCTATCATGAATTCACCTCAGATGGTTGCGGCTTTAGTTAGAGCGATCTCTAACAGCAATGATTTGGAGACTACTAAAGGTGCAGTGGGAACCTTGCATAACTTGTCTCACCACAGACAAGGTTTACTTGCAATCTTCAAGAGCGGCGGTATACCTGCTCTGGTGAAGTTGCTGAGTTCCCCTGTAGAATCGGTGCTCTTCTATGCTATCACCACACTTCACAACCTCTTGCTGCACCAAGATGGTTCAAAAATGGCGGTTCGCTTGGCCGGCGGACTACAAAAGATGGTTGCTTTACTGCAGAGAAATAACGTCAAGTTCTTGGCTATAGTGACTGATTGCCTCCAGATCTTGGCTTACGGAAACCAAGAGTCGAAGCTAATCATCCTTGCATCTCAAGGACCGATCGAACTTGTGCGTATCATGCGCTCCTACGACTATGAAAAGTTGCTGTGGACCACATCCAGGGTTCTGAAGGTAACTTATAATGTAACATAAATTTTGTATATAAAAATATATTTATTAACTACCTAACAATTATCTCGTCACGATAGGTATACAGGAATAAAAGTAATACATGACTTATGAGTAATTAACCCATTTTAATCCTAACAGAAGTAGTTTTCTGGATCAAAAACTATGTTTTTAACTAAAAAATAATTGTAATCAATTAATATTTGCTAAAACGGCGAACTCGCTGCATGTTAGCATGGAAGTAATTTCTTTATCATATATTATAAATTTACATAGGAAGTGTTTGTTTGTCTGTCCATAACATGAAAAATTATTAAGTAATGAAGTAACATTTTCTTGTGATAAAATAATACAAGATCTATCTAATATTTAAAATTGTTGTTGCATTATAGGTGCTGTCAGTATGCTCTAGTAATAAGCCCGCCATAGTGGAAGCGGGTGGCATGCAAGCCCTTGCCATGCACCTTGGAAACCCGAGTGGCCGTTTGGTCCAAAACTGTCTCTGGACTTTGAGAAATTTGTCTGATGCTGCCACCAAGGTGAGTTAATACGAGAAAGATTTAACTATGTAATTGAATTATCATAATTTCTATTGTATGGAATCATATTTCTCAGTAAAATATACATATTAATTTTTTGATTTTTACAATCACTATTGTATTATAGTTCAATAAATTAATAAATCATCTTAGTCATTTTTAACCACTTTTTAAGATAACTTTTAGTTTTCACATAAAGTCCGCCAATCGTAATTCCGCTTTAGATAGCATTCATTAAATTTATATTCATTTAAACTTAACTATTTCACCTCTCATTATTCTTTAAATGCCAGTCATATTTATATTTAGACTAGCTTTCCGCCCGTAGCTTCGCTCGCGTGGAGTTCGATTATATCGCGTTTCCAAGAGAACCTTAAAAAAATCTGGGATAAAAGCTATCCTATGTTCTTTCTCAAGGTCAACTCTATCTTTGTACCAAATTTCATTAAAATCAGTTCAGTGATTTAGGCGTGAAAGCGTAACAGACAGACAGACAGACAGACAGAGTTACTTTCACATTTATAATATTAGTAGGGATATGCAGTCAAAGAGCTTAATGCTTTCAATATGCTTTTTTAAATGAAAAACGTCTACAAGAAATAAGTTCTAGTAAAAATAAATTTAGTATAGTAAAGTTAATTGAATCAATATTACCATAATATATAATATCTATATTTCTCCAGCACCACCTTTAGAATTCAAGCCATATTTCCCAAGTCCCTAGGCTTTTGCTATTGTTTGGTTTATTTTCTTGTTATCCTTTGTATATAACAACACCTCATAATAATAAATTCCAGGTGGAAGGTCTAGAAGCTCTGCTGTCAAGCCTCGTGCAGGTGCTCGCTTCAACTGATGTCAACATTGTGACTTGCGCTGCTGGAATACTCTCCAACTTGACCTGCAATAATCAGCGCAATAAGGTAAAGTCAAAGAAACTATGTATATATATAGATATAATGTTCTCCTAATTAACAACACTTCAATTTAATAACATTAATTAATCACTTATGGAAAAAAACTCCTAAATATTTTTTTAAAGATTATATAAATAAAACAAAATTGAACTATTGTAATGTTGATGTTATACATAATATCATATCGTTTGGAATAGTGCGAATCCGCATAACTACCTTTGGATAATTCCGCGTATCTACAATAAACGCAAATTATCAGAAAGTTCAATCTGAAATATTTTCTAAATAAACGACTTTTAAAGTAATTTTTAAAATTTAATACTAAATAATTACTAATTTTGAAAAAAATACCCTAAAAGTCGTTAATTTAGAAAATATTTCAGCTCAAACTTTTTTCTGATAATTTGTGTCCAATGTAGATACGCGGAATAATCCAATGGTAGTTACTCGGATTTACACTATTCCCGATGTTATATTTTCTGGTAACATGGAATTTAAAATGCATTACAAGCATAAAATATCTTCATTTCACTAATTGAACCATGAGAAAACTTCATTTTATAAAAAAGTATTTAAAATGTTTATTTTTATTTATATAAAAGTAAAAACATTTTTACTACATAATTGTTTGTAATAAATTCCTTTTATTTTTGTCGTTACTTCTACGTTATTACAACTACATAAACATAACAATTTACATAACTAAAAAAAACAATATGTATGTACCACAATGTTTTTTTAAAGTTTTTATTAGTCTATAATTAAAATTTTAAAAATTGTATTTTTTAAATATTATCACAGGTTATACTGAAAAAATTTTAACACTATTTCAGTTAAATATTTCTCTAATAGTTAAGCCAAAAACTATAGAATCTACATATATTTCCCAGGTGACTGTTTGCCAAGCTGGTGGTGTGGATGCTCTAGTCCGTACAGTTGTGTCGGCTGGAGACCGCGAGGAGATCACAGAGCCAGCTGTGTGTGCTCTCAGACACCTCACCTCGAGACATGTGGAGAGTGAGATGGCACAGAATGCTGTCCGTCTACACTATGGACTACCGGTATGTATTAAAGTTAACATACTGATATAGCGTTTGATTCAAGCTGAGCTTTGCACTTGTGTGAGTGCACACGGATAGTGTATGTGTGTTGTCAAATTTTTGAATGCCAACATCTTTTCTTGTTTTGAACCGGTTTATACTGCTTTTACTCCACCTCGCACCTTCCGCACTTCAGCCTTTGTACTGGTAGCAACGACAAATGTTGAAAATGCATTGTCAAGTGAAGAAGAATTTGTATTGTTATTTCAAATTTTTTATTTATATATAATTTCTATTATATTTTTATAATATTCATAATACATATTTCCATCTGGCCTTTTACAAGTTTTTCTTATTTTATTTTCAATCTAGAATAGCTCTAGCACTTATGTTATGTGTCTATTTATAATATTATAAAATTTAATTCTAAAAGCTTTTTTGTCTAACTCTACTTTTACTTTCACTCACACAAGTGCAAGGCTCAGCTTAAGTCTAACGGACTATACTTGTATAATATTTTTTAAGTATCACACTTTAGATTAATGGAAGGAATTTCATATATAATTCATGATGTTTATATATTTGATTTTTATGTAATGTCAGGAGCTACAAAACATGTGTATTAATGACTTGTGTGACTGATTGTAGTAATTAATTTACATTTTAAGTTTTGAGTACATACATTGCTTGATTTCAATATCATTTGTAAATTTCATATATTTTCATTAAAAGTATTTGTGTTTATATTCTCTTTTTTCTTGAGTTCAATCCCATATTCATATCATTATCTCATTCATCCTTCCTATCATATCAATCACGTGCATGTATCATTTATTTTTCCTATTAATCAACATAGTTTATGTAAGTCCTTCTTCCAGGTGATAGTGAAGCTACTGCAGCCTCCGTCTCGCTGGCCGCTTGTGAAGGCTGTAGTGGGTCTAGTACGTAACCTGGCTCTGTGTCCAGCCAACCACGCCCCACTTCGAGAACATGGTGCTGTTCATCATCTTGTTAGACTCCTGATGCGCGCGTTCAATGATACACAGAGGGTTAGTAAATCAAATTATAGCTATCTCACTTGTAATGATAAAAAAATATAGGGAGTTCCCTACCTGGTATTGTTTCTATCATTTAAGTAAAATAATTAATATATTTGTATTTAAAAGTACATATATCTATATATCAAAAACATTTAGCAGTTAATGAATATGAACTGTCAGTCATACCTATGATCGTTTATACCACCAAAAGTTTAAAGTGTATATGTCGTAACGTGACGCTAAAGAACTTACTTTCTTCGGCGCTACAACCCTTTGTGGGTCTTGGCCTCTTCCACAATAGACTGCCATGCACGACGATCCTTGGCTGTCCTTCTCCAGTTCGTTCGTTGTCCGTTTTCCTCAGCCTGGGTCGTCTTGTTTTGAGCGTTCCGGTATTTTCTGTTGTGGAAGTGTTCGTAACCATATCTGTTTTCCCATGCTGGGTAGTTAGCCCCGCGATGAACCCTCCTCTTTTATCCGGGCTTGGGACCGGCAGTGCAGCAGACTAACAAATAACCTACTACACCGGCAGAGTTTACGTGACGCTAAAGAAAGGCATCGGTGTAATAAATTTGTATGGTTACGTTTATATTAGTAATGAGTAATGTATTGTGATGGCTTGTATTGTGTAACACATATATCCATCTTCTTATATAAAATTATCGTGTTACAATGTTCGTTCCCGTACTCCTCCGAAACGGCTTGACCGATTCTCAAAAAAATTTTCTAGCATATTGCATAGGTCTGAGAATCAGCCAACATCTATTTTTCATATCCCTTAGTGATAAGGGTAGTCCACTCTTAACATTTTTCTTTAATTTTTAGACACTTAATTTCTTATTTTTCTATTATGTCGCATTAAAAAATATATATAACCCTTAATTTTTATCGCCAATCTTTATTTTTTTACAGCAAAACAGGGTTTGCCGGGTCAGCTAGTCCTAATATAAGTTTTTAATTGAAATCTCGTCACTAATTTAACTACCAAATTTTTCTAGCAACGTACATCTGTATCTGGAGGCGGGGGTGCCGGCGGTGCTTACGCGGACGGTGTTCGTATGGAGGAGATTGTAGAGGGCGCTGTCGGAGCGTTGCACATTCTCGCTAGAGAGGGACTTAATCGCACTCTCATAAGACAACAGAATGTTATCCATATATTCGTACAGCTTTTGTTCAATGAGATAGAAAACATACAGGTTTGTCATATAGTTAACTATAATTTTATCATAGTGTGTGTTGAAAGGATATAAATGTTTCAAACTTGTTGTACATTCATGAATATATCAAATGCAAAAGCCTCTTTGATATGTACTGTAACGATTTGTAGTGCTGTGATATATTTTCGTTCTCAAATCGTTTTTATCCCTCTCCATAAACAAATGAAAAGGACATAGAGTATGTATAGAAAGTAATAAGAATTGATTAGGAAACACCTTAACAGAATTCCCGTTTTTGTCGAAAAGCACTTGAGTCTGAGCTAAAATAGCATTATCTTCACTATATAATCAATAATTAATGATTTCCAATAATATTATCCTCTTTTTATTAATATTTAATATATATTTTACTAGCGTGTAGCGGCGGGCGTGCTCTGTGAGCTAGCGGCTGATAAAGAGGGAGCGGAAATGATAGAAGGACAAGGAGCCACTGCACCACTTACTGAACTACTGCATTCAAGGAATGAAGGTATGTATAGGCGTATATACATTTTTTCAGATATGTATAATGTACATAAAAATCATACTAAAAAGAAACTTTTTTTTTTTGTGAAACTTCATTGTTTTGTGAATATGACCTGAGTGGAATAAACACAATGTTAAATATCCAAAGTTACTCATTAATAATTATTGTGATGTGCAGTTAAATCAAACAAATAAGTGTAGCTTAACTAGATTTTCAATATTCAGAAAGCAAATATGTTGCTTCCAGACACATTCATTATTTTTTTCTAATTTCCAATATAAAAGAATGGCGAATTGGCAACACACTGTACTTGTTTTATCATTCAATACCTGAGTATCAATGACTTTAAAAAATATAAAATACAAAAAAATATATTTACCGTGAAAATCATACTCTTTAAACTATACATCCAAATTATTCGTTTTTTATTACAAGCATATGAATATATATAAATAAATAAAAAAAGTTACATCTTTTGTTCTGTCTGTTTGTTCCTGCTTATCTCTGAAATAGCTGGGCGGGCTTTGATGGGATTGTTATTGGGTTGTAGCTGATGTAATAGAGTATCATAGAGTAATTTTTATCCCGATTCCGAAATTCAACGTTTTCTCGCCCGAGTAAGAGTCACGTCGCATGCAGCACTTAAAATTTTTTCATTGTTATTCTCTATTCGGCCGGAGCAGCGGGTAGTAGTTAGTTAAATGTAAAATGTTTATATATAACTGCAGTACTTTGTTAGATTTACAAACATTCATACATATCATATATATTAATATAACTCATACAGATAAAATACTTATATATTATTTCCAGGTGTAGCAACATACGCCGCAGCCGTTCTGTTCCGTATGTCAGAAGACAAACCTCACGATTATAAGAAGAGACTCTCTATGGAATTAACAAACTCATTGTTCAGAGACGACCATCAGATGTGGCCCAACGACCTCGCCATGCAAACCGACCTACAGGTATCATTCATTAACATATCTATGTACATGTAAATGTAACAATTAAATTTTGCATATAAATATAAATGTACATTTATGCGAGCTTCATTTAAATGTATCAAATGTGATATCCTTACATTAGTTTTTATTTTGCAAATTTTTAAATTTATTTTCATATAAAAATGATTGTTTATTATTTTGCGTTATTGATTTAACCCTGCTTGTGTGATGTATGTTTGCTGTTGTATTACATAGGACATGCTCGGGCCGGAGCAGGGTTACGAAGGTCTATACGGAACGAGACCATCTTTCCATCAACAAGGTGAGTTATATATTAACTGTGACATTATATAATACATAAGGTAAAAAACATTAAAAAATAATTATAAGAATATCTTATAATAGATTATATATATGCATTATTCTGTTACATGTTATTGAACTAGGCTAACATTGTATTGATCTAAGTAATCGATGTCAAGTATGAAGCACATGTTTTTGTAAACTTTAAAATATGTTTCTCTCTTCTTTACACGCAGCTTAATCCGGGACCTATTTATCACTAAACTCAGGTGATGGGAATATTATTATTATTGTGTGTGTGTTTTACTATTTATGTACTATTTGTGTTCTAAGCTTTATATATTTAATGAATACTTAATATGAATGCCCGATATTTGTCCCCGATTACTATATTTGTTTCTGCTTTGGATTGCTGCGTAATGAGTCGTTGAGAATTCGTATAATCTTATTAACAAATTAATATAAAGTATGTTTATTTAAACAATTAATAATTATTGAAAATTAACTATAACATGTTATTTTCGCTTGCAGCACATGATAGTTTGTTATTTCTTTAAATATTTTGTGTGTGCGTGTGTTTTAAATACCATTTATTGTATTATTAAAGTAACCATACAGCTCATACACCACTCATTTTTCCTCTAATCTATATATTATAGTGAAAAAAATAATACGTAAATTTTACAAATTACATTTAATAACTTATGTAATTCAATGCGTAACATTTTGTTCATATCATTTTAAATATAGAATCCATAACTCTAAATAATTTAATAGGTAAATAAATCACCTTACATACATTATTGATTAATATTTAATGAAACAATATAAATTAACATTATCAAAACTTAATATTACAGGCTACGATCAAATCCCGATAGACTCAATGCAGGGGTTGGATATTGGAAGCGGTTTCAATATGGACATGGACATCGGTGAAGAGGGCGCCACTTCCAACGATCTAGCCTTTCCTGAACCGCCGCATGATAATAACAACGTAGCAGCCTGGTATGACACCGATCTATAAGACAGACCTTTCTTATCTGGACACCAAGTACTTGACAAATTTGTAATACTATTGAGTATCAGTTGATTTAAATACATGTAATAATAATGTAGAGCTGAAGTGTATTTCAAATTTAATTAATATGTAATGCAGTATTCAAAATGGTAGATGTGTTTCGTAACAAACAACTCGTCAAGTTAATAACCTCACTTTGAATTCAATCATTGGTTGTTAAAGCGTTCTAAATATATAGAATGAAAAAACAACTCGTTACACTAGTATTGTTTTATTCACAAAATTTTATGATCACAAAATTATTCAATATAAAATGATTCGTTACCAAAAGCAAGAACAAAATGCCATCGATCCTCAAATTCTGTGATAGTCACACGACCTAACAATTCAAACATCTGTTATATAATTGGAAGCGATTGGTGCTATACTTGAGTCGGTATTGTATTTCTAAACAAACAAACGCCCCGGGCATTGATTACATCGGGTTTTGTACGGGAACGTATGAAATGCGTGTAATCGGACTATAGGGTACACATTACATTATAAGATATAGGCTTTAATGATAATATTTTTTAGCGTAATTCGACTTATTTAATATGTGCATTTACGATGTGTGATTTATATGTTTCGTTACAACTATTGGCTGGATGACGTTTTATTTAAATAATTCATAAGACTGTTTGATTGCTAAGAATTGTATTTTATATTGCTTTGACTGCCATGTTTTTTTTATTTTATCATAATCTTGTTTACACTGATGTTCACTGATAACAATGAGTTTCTCATTGTATGTCACTTGATTCGATTCAAGCGACAATAACTTGTGGGTGGAGTGTAAACAGATGAAAAAAATCAGTGTACGAATGATATGCTATTGAAACAAGTTAGTTCTATATTAGGAGTAAAATTATAATTTCAACTATCATATAACTCCGATGTCACGCACTGAAGTATAATCAATGTACTAGTATAAAATATTTTAAACGTTTTTTAGTAGAACAATCAATATGTAGTATTAATAATCAGTGCGTACTGACCCTTATCTGAGAACAATCAATGTAGTTCACAGTAATTGTTTTATTTCTGACATAAGATTTGAAATGTACTAAATCAGTGTTTGTGTTAAATTGTGTACACATTAGTTTACACACAAGTGCCAAAAACAGACGAAGAGTTTTGTTCTCATCAAACTGGTCGTGAACTTCAAAATATTCTATATAAGATCATTTCTGAAGTGATTAACCAGTTTAAAGGGATACATCGTTTTGTATGAACGGTAATGTGCACACACCTTAACATTGTATGTAGCTTTGTGTATTACAATTATGATATTAGGAGAGCACACTAACGTAACGTACACGTAGAGTTAGTATATTGTAATCGTATATTATAAGATCTAGTATTAATTGCGTAATTCCTCTAGGGTCCTCATATATAATTTTTCTATTTAATAATCTTAAGTATCTTTACCAATGTTTTTATACTGATTCGATTATGAAGACATTGCTGAAGCATGTTTTTTGTCCATTTAGTTATGGATATTAAAGTATAATACAAATGTATGTTGTTTTATTAATGTCCTTACACCTATTATTCATTCTAGAATTTAAATTAAATGAAATTCTTGGTTGGTATATGGATCAAATCAACTTCAGTTAAGATAACTTTTAGATTGTAACAATGCAAAAAAAGAATTAAAATGCACTTAATGTATGCATGGTAATAAAAGTCTATAGTGTCTTATATGGATTGCAAAGAAATTGACATGTTACTTACAAAAACCAGCATACAAAATAAAAATAGTGTATGTAAATTGTCAATACATATTTTATTATTTGAAATCATAATTTTGATGTAATTAAAGACCCTTTTATCTAAATTAGATGCAGGCGTCATAAAGATGTTGAAGTTGTGGCTCGGGCTCGCTCTAACGGCTGATTCATCGGCTTTATTCAGGGATCGTAATAGTTTTGGGATGAATCTAAAAAGACCATCGGAGCTCTACAAACACCTAAGAGTTTCCAAGAGACATATCCTGGGAAAATCCCATGATGACGTCGTTACATCACTCCCAAAAGACAATGATGCCCCAGAGCTAGAGTCACGACTTCAATTCCATAAACAATTTATGATCGGAGCGCAAAATAACAGAGTAGGGTTAGGATCAAGTAGGAAAGTCCAAGATACGGATATATTGAAGTCTTTTATTCGGCAAGACGAGAACGATAAATACAAGATCCATGCAATGAGTTTAGAAATGCAGATCGAGTGGTTAGACATAGAAGATTTTTGCATTCCACTAGCACTAAAATGGCGCACCCTAATTCATGACTGGTCGCCAGCCTTGCTAAAATTTTATCTCAATGCGTTCCAGATGACTCTCCCAGATCAGAGTAATTTAGTAAGATGGGGTAAAGGTACCGAAAAAACTTGCTATATCTGCGGAAAGGCAGTTGGAACTGCCAAGCATTTGCTGGTGGGATGTAAGGTTCTCCTGGACAGCGGTCAATACTCGCGTCGTCACGATAGGGTTTTAGAGATCATACGTGAAGCGGTTAGTCTTTCGGTAGCCAGAGCGCAAAGGGAAATAACCACAAACGAGCGATCAATAGGTTTTGTGAGAGAGGGCACCAGGGCTATAAAATCAAACGTCAAGCCTTACTCAATCCTTAAAGCGGCTTCGGATTGGACTATCATGATGGATACGTATGAGAAACAATACAAAATTCCCGAGGATATTTGTGCGTCGGCCTCCAGACCAGACATATTTCTATATTCGCGTATTTTAAAGCGCGTTGTGATGATAGAGCTTACGGTGCCTTGGGAAACCAACATCCCCAAAGACCATGCCATCAAGGTCAATAAGTATTACGAGCTCACTAACGAACTAACTCGAAATAGGTTCGTCGTTGATTTGTACGCGGTAGAGGTGGGAGCGAGAGGTATAACAGCTAAATCTCTCTATAACCTACTAAAAGACTTGGGCCTGTCCAGAACTAACATTAATTCATTCTTAGAACGTACGTCGAAGGCAGCCCTAGTAGGTTCTTTTCAAATTTGGTTAGGTAGGGAGAGGAACTTGGACAGTGGAGGTGAGCGTATAACGCGCGTTAGTTAAGGGGCCCCTTAAACCTACACCTGGGTCGCAAGTCCCAGGCACTGTTGAAGCTCCTCTCCCTGCAACGCGATGGACCCGGCACCCGCACGGTGAATCCATCGAATGCTGAGAGGTTTCGTCTGTCTGTTTAATAAATTATTTCTGCGTCGGCGTTCAGACGAGACATATTTCTGTATCTACATTCGTGAATTTTAATAGACCTTACAGTTCCTTGGAAAACCAGCACCCCAAAGATCATGCCATCAAGATCAATAAATATTTCGAGATCACTAACGAACTCACTAAGAATGGGTTCGTCGTATATTTGTACGCATTAGAAGTGGAAGCGAGAGGCATAACAGCCAAATCTCTACAACCTACACCTAGGTCGCAAGTCCCAGACACTGTCGAAGCTCCTTTCCCTGCAACGCGATGGACCCGACACCCGCACAGTGAATCCATGGAATTCTGCGAAGTTTTCTTTCGTCTCTAAGCAAACTATACTTCAACATTGTCTGACTATTGTCCTTATAATCCTCTAAGGCTTCTTTAGCTTGAGAAATCATTGTAAAAGTTAGGCTTAACAGGTTTAAGCTTGAAATATCAACCCAAAAAGATAACTACATTACATGCACATTACTATTTAAATAGTTGTAAATTTAGTCAATGAATTGAGATAGGAATGTAAATTAAGGTTTTGATTTTAAATAATTTCTCTAATAATTAATATTACACACTAATAAATTTAATGTTGAGAAAAATATTAAATAATTTGTCAAATTTAACATCAGGATAAACTTAAGGAGTCTTATTTGAAGTTCAGAACCAGAAAGAGAACTTACAAATTAGGCTTTAAATGTATCCCTTAAACAGTAGGTACTCAGAACAATCAATGGACCTTTTGCAAAAAGTTCGTTGGCGAGACTTTACTTTTATGTCCAGAAATCTCCACATTTGGTCCACTGCCAAATTCTTCCAAAATAATTTATTACTTAACATAGGTACAAGAATTATATTATGATAATATGTAGCAGTTGCTAGCACTCCCCCATATCAAGCATTGTATTTATTGTTTAGCTGTTAACTTTTATTAACAACTCCTTGCTTAAACGATCTAAACATTTAAGGAGTTTTTTTTGTTTTAGGGCTCATATAGGATACAAGTGAAATCTAGACGCCTATTACGTAAGACATGAGGCTAATGGAGAGGTTAGCTCTTAAAGGTTTTTTCAGAAAGGTAACATGAAAACTTTTTAAAAATTAGTCTTGCAAGCATTTTGTACTAAGTAGATAAAATACGGTATAACAGTATCAGTTCTATCCTTATTTAATACATATATGTGTTGAGATTAATACAAAAAAATTAATACAAAATAAAAAAAAAATCTTTTATATAAACCTACAGGCATACTTTCATGTTTGAACATTTACTTAGCACAGATTATATATAACTAATGATTGTTTCGCCTTTTAATTTTGATCGTTAATATCAAAATGGCGTGTATGTTAAAGAACTTAACAATAAAATAATCTTAATAAATAATCAAGATATAATAAACTACAAAAAGTAATAAGACCATATACTTAATAACATTTGTCAAACGTATACTGCTGTGAACATCGACATATACTAATGGACATGCCATAGAGATGAGAATTATGGCACTCCGAAAGAAATAAAGGAAACGAAGTTTCGGTCTATCTTTATCTCTCTCAAAATAGTACCGTACTTAAGACGTTATGATCCCCTTCTGGATAATTTATTATTTTTTAATGTCATATACAGCTTTTTAGTAAATGTCGATGGTTAAGGGGAAATAAATTTATATGCCGTATTCGTCATGAAAACTGCGCGCCAATCATCAGTGAGAAAGAGATAGTGCTAGACCGAAAGCATAGGCCATCTCTTTCACTCTTTTCAAACCAAAAAATTACTGCAGATTATACGCGTACGACATGTCCATTAGTATATGTCGATGGCTGTGAAGGCCTTATTTTAATGGATAAATTCACAATAAAAAATTTCTTTACATCAAAAAAAAGAAGTTGTTAAAATTATAAATAAACATATGATCACAGCATGTTAATGTGAAGGAGTAACTCAATACAGATCCATGAACCGAGTGATCAAGATATATCCACGTGAGCATCAAAAGACATAACTCGCAAAATTGTTCGTGAAGGTAGGCGACCGCAACCGCATGACGTAACTTCCCTGCCATCGTCCCGACAGTTATTATGTACAATTAGGACTTAGACCACGGCACGGCACTAATCTTACACTAACTTCGACGTATACATAAATAGTTTCCGCCTAATTCTTGGGGTGGTGCGGCAATTTCATCAGGTTCAATATACATACATGTGTGCAATAGAATAATGATAATTTTTAATGCTGTTAGCAGTTACTACTCATGCAGTATAATCTTAGGTATAAATATTTCTTTAATAATTGAATACAAACAAACATGGTTAATAGGTATTTGGATATGATTTTAACGATACAATTTCTAAAATTACGTAGGTACCTACATGCTATTTATTGTTTTGAATATGATTTATTCTTATAATTAGTATGATAAATAAATTAACTATTTACGCTTATTTAAATTAATGTAGCTTTTCAAATAAAAAATTTATCATTTTCCTTGCGTACCTATAGTTATTAGTATGAGTATTTTCTTCAAAGCATTTCGGAGAAAAATAATTCAGTGGTTATATTATAGGAAGCAGTAAGCAGGTGATCGTATTGCAATTAAAGAAGCCTGCAAGGTTAAAGCTCTGCTCTGTGCCTCTTGGAATCAAAGCTACACCCACTTTTAACGTTGAAGCATTCATATGATAGGTAGGTAATTGATCAGTTTTTTTTTTGTATACCTACTAACCGTAAAATCAAATATTGTATTTGACTCCTCTTGTAGAGCGTAATTAATAATATTTATAGAAGCATCGTGTATTGTCAAAAAGTGTCACTGTCTTATTATCATTAAGAAAAAACTATCGACGCAAAATAATTTAAGCATGGCGCTGGGTTATACAAAAAAATGTGTGAAATTTCTCAAATCGGCTGGTCTCGGTGGATTCAGGAAGTAAAAGACTTGCCGTTAGATCTAAGTTTGGGAAATATATGCCTAGGATGATAAGAAAAATTCATAGTTACGGCATATTTTTGCGGACTAGTATTTCTTTGTTAAATCAAATTATAAAATTTTCTTATGAAAGATTTCGTTCGTAATTCAGTATGACCTCACAAAAGTTGTGAAAAAATACTTTTTTCCAATCAAAAAAGTATGTTATCGAAAAGAACCAATTTATTACGACGTGTTCTTTCATTAACCTGATTTATTTGTCTTGAGTAAAATATACTATATAATAGTTTTAATCCCACCACCAAACTAGTGGAGTCAATTTAGTTAAACTTCTAAAACAAAGCATATTAAATGCCAGGTAAACATTACGGAACCAAGTTTTATTGTGTCGTGTTGTACGTGTAGTTGAAATAGAGTTTTATATTTTCATTTCATTTTTATAATACATTTGTTACAATGTTAATTTAACCACTAGTTTATAATTAAAACATTCGCTACAACCGTTAATTAACGCTGTATTAGCGTGACACACGCTAAAATTCTATACAATTCACTGGGGAGATTCCAAATCACAGTTTGAACCTAATAATCATCGAGAAATTTACTCATGTATGTTTGATTCGTCTAAACGGTTTTTGGTCATTTCCCATGCGATCACATGTAATTAGATGTATGTTCGATGTAGTCTTATTGCCTCTGAATAAAGGTCACGGTTTGAAAGTTGGTAATTACGAAGGAGTGAATGTTGGTGATAATTATACAGTGAAGTTTGAACTCAACGTTTTCAAGTAACGTGTGAATGGAAGATATGGAACTTTGTGTATTTTAATTACATATAATTTTGTTTGTTAATCCTTTCAGCCTTTGAATGTTTTCAATTTATATTCCTAATGTATCATTATACAAAATGTTTTACCTTACTGTGATATTGCTATTCATATATGTATATTGAAATTAAATTTTATAAGTGAAACATGACTGAATAAAAGCCTTTTCAAGTTCCTTAGGTATCTAGGAAGTATAAGTTCACTCCATTCATACAATATTGAATTAAAAAGTGATAAAAAAGTGCATAATATTTTTATAACACTATACAAGGTAAAACTCCAGACTATTGATGATAAATACAAAATACATAAACGTGCACAGTTAAAACAAAGAATTTATAGCTTAACTGTTATGAGTCTCATTAAAGGTTGCATCGTATCTCCCTGCAGTTAGAGTTTACGACCCCTTAATAAACCCCGGTCGAGGGTAGATTACATGATTTTTACGTCCAACAGTGAAAACGCATCTGTGTAGATCATCAGACTTCGAATTAGTTATTTGATGAGATCTTTTAAAAGTTTTTAAGCAGCGAAAACTTACTTATTGAAACGTATTTCAGTTTAACATTGAATAATTACTGACATGCGATCTCTTCACATATAAGCACTGTTCATTGATCATTTAAATAATGTAATATTTCCTATATAATGCAATTTAATTTAAGAATTAGTTCACAATGGCGAATTTAGTGACGAAAAAATATACTTGATGATATAATACAAAAAATGCAGAATAAACATCGCTACAAAAAGTATAGTGTTATTGTAAAACGCAGTAACTCCACAGCCCAACAGTGACCGCCTGAAACTGACAGTCCACAATTAGTAGTAACCGTTAAAGGAATTTTAATTAAATTCTATGAGAAACTTTGTGTAAACTTTTACTTTGGAGTTTTTCCTTGTCTCCAAAAATTGTTTCTCCTTAAATCTATCGAAGAATGCCTAATTGGTTTAATTAATTTGGTCTTGATTTGTTTTTGTGAGTGGATTGCAATAATCTTTTTTTATGTATGAACTAGTTTTTGCCCGCGACTTCATCAGTTTGAGCTTCGAAATTGGGTTCACAAGTGTATAAAATGTACTAAAACAATAGATATGGTTACCAATCGGCAGTTCCATTTATAGATATATATTCTGTGTCACGCGAATCCATTCAATATATAACAATTACGTAGCGATCCCGCGGGAAACTAAAAAGAATTCCAGGATAGAATAGTCAATGTTTTAGACTGTATTTGAGATAAATTAATGCAAATTGCAAAGTTAGATAAAAATATCTTTAAGTTCTTTTTGCCTGAAAAATTAACAACCATCCATACATCCTCACAAGCATTCATTTATTATATTAGTATGATTTTTATCAAGTAAATCGACCGAATGCCCTAGTCTGCAAAAAGTAAAACTGTAGGAACGCAATTTTCTTTTAAGATAAATGAGATTTATTTTCTGAATCGGAGCGTCTTAAACGATTTCATATTAATATTTCCAAGAAGCAATGTCATTTTATCTCAGAATAAATTCTACAAAGATCAAAGGAATCAGAAATAGAAATTCTCTGATAATAAATCACAACTTTA